GAAGGATGAATATACAATTCGCTCTGAGTATCGATCGTATTTCGAGTTGATGATGAAATACGTTCATCTGCCATGGATATCTCTTGACGAAGAAGAACAAAAAAAAATCAGAACAGCAATCCTTCAAATCAGAACGCTCACAGAATTCCGGAAATTGATCATTGGCTCTGATACCATGATAAATTCATCAAGATGATGAATTTGCAGAAGAAGAACCGAGGAAGAAGACAAGTAGAAAAGAAGAGAAACGAGATATGGAAAGCTCAAAATATCTGATATTATCCAACTTGCTTGTCCAATATACAAAATGCTCTATATATATAAAATGCTAAGCTAAGGAAACAACGAGAAGAAAACAAACTGAACGAAAAAGGCGCAAGCCTCTAACAAACTGAAAAAACCAGCTGGCAGCAACTAACTTATCTTCACAAAGTGCTTATTGCTTCAAGATCATCTGGAAGCATCACCATGTAATCAATTTGATATTTGTTGCTGACCGTATGTTTATATTGAACACATTGGTTTGTAACCTCAAATTTGATTAAGCTTCGAAATGCTAATTGTAATCAATTTTTAAAACGTTTACAATTGTTATTATTTTCCTCCAAGAATATATTTTTGTTCTAGAATTGGAGTTTTAGTCGATAATAACTTATTGTAAAGATTGAGGAATTTTGTTCTTTGGTTTTACTTGCAGAGAAGGTGTCCAATTCATGTTTGAATGTGTTTCAGGACTTTTGAGCTCTTCCAACATCAATGGATGCATTTTAGCAGACGATATGGGGTAAATATTGCAGTGCATAGTCTGCAGCAGTTCTGCTTTCTTATTAATTGAAAGATTTTAATTTGAACGGCGACTGTTCTTTCTGTGCAGTCTAGGGAAGACATTGCAGTCAATCACATTGCTTTATACTCTTCTTCGCCAAGGTTTTGATGGAAAAGCAATGGTCAAGAAAGCAATAATTGTGACCCCAACCAGTCTTGTATCTAATTGGGAGGCTGAAATAAAGAAATGGGTTGGGGAAAGGGTTAAACTTGTTGCTCTGAGTGAGAGCACTCGAGAAGATGTCATCTCTGGCATTCACAGTTTTACCAGTCCCAGTAGCAATTTACAAGTAATTTCTTTTCCATATACATCTACTTTAAAACTGAGGCACTTATGGTGAACTGTAGATATATTGATTCATGTGACCCAATTCCAGGTATTAATTGTTTCCTATGAGACATTTAGGATGCATACTTCAAAGTTTAGCAATTCTAGTTCATGTGACCTCCTCATATGCGATGAGGCTCACAGGCTGAAAAATGATCAGACATTGACTAATCGAGTAAGATACCATTCGTACACAATGATGAATCTTACTTTGCTTGTTTTTTTGTAAGTTTAACGTTTTCAGGAACCAATATGAGATCACTGATAACTGGCTTGTTTCATTAGGCATTGGCTTCATTATCATGCAAGCGCCGCATTTTATTGTCAGGAACTCCAATGCAAGTGAGTATTGTATCAAATTTCTAATTCAATTTTTCTGTCAAATTTTAACATCCTTTGATTTAATGCACTATTTTGTTTACATTTAACTTACAGAATGATCTAGAGGAGTTTTATTCCATGGTAAATTTTACCAACCCTGGAGTCTTGGGTGATGCTGCATACTTTCGCCGTTACTATGAGGTCAGCCTAGTAGATCAGCATTTATTAAAAGATTTTCATCTGTCACTTATTGATTCTTGCTGCTACATTTCTCAACTCAGTGGAGATAAGCAGAATGTTTCATTTCAGTGTGATATGGAGTTTAAATATAAAATGCATTTCTGATTGCTAAATTGCTACTTTAGATGCCCATTGTTTGTGGTAGAGAACCCTCGGCTACTGAAGAAGAAAAGAGGTTAGGTACCGAACGTTCTACAGAGCTGAGTACAAAAGTTAATCAGGCAAGCATCTTCTAATATTGTTGCATTTCTTGGATGTGCTAGTTCTATACCTGCTTTAGCAATTGTGATAATCTCTATACCTGCTTTAGCAATTGTGATATTGTTGCATTTCTGGGATGTGTTAGTTCTATACCTGCTTTAGCAATTGTGATAATCTCCAAGTGCTTATATAAGGAGGCAAGGAAGTGAAGGAACTCATGCTGCTCCTGTTATTTCTTTCTGAATAGTGAATACAACTAATTATTAGTATATATGTGTCTCAGTTTATATTGCGGAGGACTAATGCACTTTTGTCAAATCATTTACCACCAAAGGTATGGCTCTTTGTCTTGGTTTCACTACTGCATAAGTTCATAAAATAATAAAGTCCCGTGTATATATATATATATATATATATATATATATATATATATATATATATATATATATATGAGTAAATTCCATAATTGGGTGTCTTTCTATAAATGATTCTTTTTTTGATCTTCTGCCATGTTGGTGTTAATTTAAAGGCTAAAAAAATAATTTGCCATCAACAATATGTCCAGTGAGTCCAGTGACGTATTCTGATATTGGTTAGATCGATAACACAAAAATAATGACTATGATTGTGCACTAGGATTCCGATGAAAGACCACATATGTAGACTATGATTATAGTAGAACACAATTGTAATTCACAAATGATGCATCAAGAGCGGCCTATGGAATTGTGTATGACAAGAAAGGTATATTATCTTTGTAAAATTACACTTTTAATCCTCAAATTAATACCAACATTATAGAAGACAAAAAAAGGACTATTTGTAGATAGATACCCATAAAAGGACCACCAGGGTAATACTACCTCTGTCCCACTCTCTTTGTCCACTTTTACAAACAGAGCACCATTTTAGACTTACCGTGGTAGGCACTGTCGCTTTTACAAACGGAGCACTGTAGGTACCCCAAACAAACTGGTGTAAGCAAATTACACCAGGGGGGTAGGAACTGTCGCTTTTACAAACGGAGCACTGTAGGTACCCCAAACAAACTGGTGTAAGCAAATTACACCAGTAGTACTGGTGTCATTTTAGACTTACCGTGTGTGTGTTTGTATATATATGTATATATATATGTATATATATATGTATATATATATATACATATATATACATACATATAGACACACACACACAAAACGACACTAGTGCTACTGGTGTCATCTGCATACACCAGTTTGTTTGGGGCACCTACAGTGTTCCGTTCGTAAAAATGATAGTTCCAACCCCCCTTAACCCTCCCCCTAAACCCCCACCCCTGCCCTCTCCTCCTGCCCCCTTGAGGGGGGCGGGAGGGGCGCAGAAGGGGGGGGGGGGGGGAGCTGAGGTGGGGGTTAGGAGGGTAGGAACCATCATTTTTACGAACAGAGCATCGTAGGTGCCCCAAACAAATTGGTGTATATGTAACCGGTGTCATTTTAGACGCCCTCTATATATATAGTGTGTGTGTTTATTTCGCACTCCATTGATTTCGTATCCAGCTAAAACACTTTATATTTGATGTTTCCCCCTTGTATACTTGAAGGGTCTGTTATTTGTTTTTCCTTGCAGATAATTGAAGTTATCTGCTGCAAATTGACCCCTTTGCAAGCACAACTTTACAGCCATTTTATACATTCTAAAAATGTAAAGTTTCACTTATTGTGTTTATTCATATTTGCTGTGTACGATCTCTAAACTTTCTGAAAATGTTTTATATGTACTTGTTTCCGTCTTATATATGCAGGTAAAACGAGCTATTACAGAGGAAACAAAACGATCAAAAATTTTGGCTTACATTACTGCCTTAAAAAAGCTTTGCAATCACCCAAAGGTACTACATATTGTACACTTAGCTCTCTCTCTCTCTCTCTCTCTCTCTCTCTGTATACACACACACACACATATACATACTTGGGGTATTAAACATTGTCTTTGGCTCTGCTTATCTCTTGCTTGCCATTCATAAGCATGAAGAATCATTTTGCTTCATCTATTTTGAAGCTAATTTATGACACAATAAAGAGTGGGAAGCCAGGTACTATGGGGTTTGAAGATAGTATCAGCTTATTCCCTCAAGAAATGTTTTCTGGAAGGTGAGTTCAAACATTAGAATGAGGTTGACATTTGTTCTTGTTGTACTGTTTCTGCTCAGAATATCGTTGACAGTATTGGCCATCATATTTTCACATTAATAAAAACACCTTTCTTGATAACTCTTAGGTCTGGTTCGTGGACTGGTGGAGATGGTCTTTGGGTAGAATTATCTGGGAAAATGCATGTATTAGCCCGGTTATTGGCTCAACTCCGTCACACAACTGATGATAGAATTGTCCTAGTCTCAAACTACACTCAGGTGTGGCATAGTAGTTGAAGATAGTTATTTCCTGTTTTTCTTCATTGAATAGCATAGCTGCTACCCTGAAACTCGTACAATCATTCTTAAGAAGTTCTTCCCACATTGATTCAGGTGTCTGCTATACGAAGTACTAAGGTTTCTGTAGTCTAAATTTAATTTATGCTCTAGAGTATAATTGAAAGATTTATCTTTTTATGCAACTTCTCCCTCCATTCCAAAATGTTAGTTCATTCTAGAAAAGAGTTAAAAATAAGGAAACAACGATTCGATGCTTGTTTAGTACAACAAGCACAACCAACACATTAATAATGGATGTCTTTTCATGTGCAATTTGTATCTTTTCTATCATTTTCAAGTACATTTTGTACTTTATCACTTCTCATGTTAAATTTGTACTTTTTTCTACAATTTTCATTTTACTACATTTGGACGTGGACAATAATTTGGGGACACCCAAAAATAGAAAAAATAACCAACATTTTGGGACAGAGAATTATTTTATGACATGTGGTTTTCAGTACAAACAAGAAGAGTAGTTTTACTTTTAGCTTGCTAACTTTTATGCTTATATTCTTTAAGAAGGGTGTAACACGGAACTGACGGAAGGCATTTGGCGTAAAACATAGCCAGTGTGCTTTTTGCATAAATTTGTTGTTTTAATTCAGTTAATACAATTAATTGACATTATAAACTTAATGCCACCTACCCCAACTAATTGGGATTTAGGTGCTGATAATAATGATGACAGCTTTTATGTTTATCTTTCTTACTCTCTAAATATGTGTCTTTGGATAAGTAGACGCTGGACCTTTTTGCTCAACTCTGTCGTGAAAGAAGATATCCCTTTGTAAGACTTGATGGAACAACCTCTATAACCAAAAGACAAAAGTTAGTAAATGAGTTTAACGATCCATCAAAGGTATGTGAATACTTTGAGATACATCGGTCTCTTAAGTAGTTTGCTCATGTTATATTGTTATGAATGCCTTACAGTAAGAAAGTTGAATGAATTATTTTAGGAGGGGTTTGCATTTCTCTTAAGTAGCAAGGCAGGGGGTTGTGGGCTCAATTTGATTGGTGGAAACCGGCTAGTGTAATTTGATCCAGACTGGAATCCCGCAAATGACAAACAGGTAAAGTTTCCCCCCTTCTTTTGGCATGGAAACTATGGAACAATGACAGCGAATACTGGGATTAAGGTTGTAGTCTTCAGGCTGCAGCAAGAGTATGGAGAGATGGACAGAAGAAGAGGGTTTTTGTCTATAGGTTTTTGAGTAGCGGAACTATAGAAGAAAAGGTCAGTTCACTGATATTAAAACCAGACTCCTAGTTAATTACGGATCAGTTAACTTATACTCCATATTTTTATGATCATATGACTTTTTCTTTGTATCCCACAGATTTACCAGCGTCAAATTTCAAAAGAGGGGCTTCAGCAAGTTATTCAGCAGGAGCAAACAGATCATGAGGTCCAGGTATTGTGGTTCCTTGACTTGCTTCTGTTTTCTTATTATGCGATTTTTTCATAAAGAATTTTACGGACTATTATTACTATTATTATTTCATAAAATACCATCATTATATTTTCAGGGAAGCTTCCTTTCAGCGGAAGATCTGAGAGACTTGTTCACTTTCCATGACAATGCGAGGTTTATCCGTGTGCTTTTTGATTTCTCACAGAAATAAGCTACATTGTACTAAACATAGAAAACGATCAATGGATTTCGAGCCTCTTCCTAAGCTCTAGTTTTTTAAAAAAATATAATTTTACACCATATATATACTATTGCCACTGTAACTATTGTGACTGGATCAGCCGATTATGAAAACAAGCAGTGCAACAGGTTGTTTCTTTTGGTAGAAATACAGAAGTTATATAAATAAATTAATTTTTTAAAGTTTTAATTCTCTTTAATTTATTCAACTTTTAAATTAAAAGTTATTCAGTCAACAGTTATGTTGCTATTATTACAATCAAATCACAATGCAGGTCTGAAATTCACGAAAAGATCAGTTGCACCCGTTGCCAAGAGCATGCTGATGAGGTGATTATAGACGGAACTGGTGAAGCAATGTCCACAGATAAACCCAACCAGGAAGACATTGGGGGTTTTGCTGGTGTTGCTGGTGTCTTGAACAAGTTAAAAGGTTCAGAGAAGCAGGTGCATGCCCAAGTCTTCTTCATGCCAAAACTGCATCACCTTTTCATCTTTCCCTCATGTCCATAAGTTTTCTTTTTAATATGCAATTTCTACAGATTGGAACTCCCAAAGAAGAGGATTTAGCTAACTGGGGGCATCACTTTTTTCCAGCGTCTGTTCCTGATACCATTCTTCAGTCTGCAGCTGTCGATGAGGTCATTCAACCTTGTTCTAACTTCTAATAATTTCTGTAAACTTGTAGGGCCCTTTTCGGCACTCTAAAATGCTAGTGAAAGAAAATAGAGAGGAAATTTAAGAACTTGTAGGATAAAATGCAAAGTTAACTGAGAAAACCAAAGGATAACTGAATTCTGGAAATACTCACTCCTTCACAAAATAAACTTTTGTGTTTGACTTTTATGGAGTTTAAGAAAAGTATTAAAAAGTAATAGGTAAGTGATTAAAATTTAATTAGAGGAGAAAGAAGGATTTTGAGCTGCATATGTCATCCCTAAAAGGGAAAAGAGGAGAGGTGAAGTTTAGTTGGAGTAAAAAAAATTGAGGTTTATTTTGAGACAGAAGATATATTAGCGAAACAGAAAGATGCCTCTCCTCTTAGAGTCCAGACTCTAAATGTATGTGAACTTTTGAAAAATTATAGTCAAATTTGAGCCATTTTTTTCTCCAAGACAATAAAACATAAAAAACACGTACCGGTCAGCATTTTTTGTTTTGTTTTGTTTTGTTTTGTTAAGCTATCAATTTTTGTAGTTCCAAGCAGTCTAGTAGCAAACTCTTTCACTCATCATTCATCCATTTTACCTTTAGCAGGTTTCATTTGTGTTCACATGTCAAATTGACGGGAAGCTCGTGCCCATGGAGTCCACAGGGAAGCCAAAACCCGAAGGAGTCGGAGTCGGACAGATGAACAATGTGAGTTTGAAAAGGAGGACGCTGCCCCAGAGACGAACAACATCCCTTTCTTCTCCACCATGCCAAGCAGTCTCACCAAGTGATAAAATATCATTATGTGCCACCAAACAAGCTTCATTTCAGGTTTCTTCTTCTCCTTCTATTGCTAGGAGCCCATTGCCTGCTCTTTTGCACACTCAATCCCCCATCTCTACCAAAGTACAACCAAAATCTTTGGACCGTACATCAAAAGCGAAATTGAATAATGTAATCTCTCCTCGATTTCAGATGCCTAAGAAAAAGAGAACGTCACTTGGTGCTCTGAGCGATGATGATTTTGTATAGGCTTCGTTTTGTCAGTTTGTACGTTTTCATAATTTGTGTTAAGAAAAAAAAAGCAAACACAAATGGGTTTGGATCTCACAACTCAGGTAAATGTGTAGAGATGGTTATGGCAAACAGTTTTGTCTAAGGCATTTGATTAATTAAGGTCAAACTATTGTGTTTGTAGTAATTAAGTTCATGTATAAGGGAAGATATATTATTATCTATCATCAATTCTTGTGTAGAATATTTCATTTAAGGAAACATGAGGAATAGCTTACTTTTTGTTTGTTTGTATAATGCTTAAAATCATTGTCCCAAGTTCATGTTACATCTTTTGACAACTCTACCTTTTTTTTCTTATATGGGTTTCGTGTTGGGGTTGACACTGTAAATAAATTTACAAATTCGTTATGACTCTTGAAATTTAACAACAAAGGCCATCAGACTCAAATTTTCAAAGGAAATGCTAGTTATTAGAGTTAAAATTGTGCAGTAATGTGAAGGGTTACCCAACACAATAGTGCGAGAAAGTATATGTGGTACGGAATAGATAATAGAGTTAGGCACGTATCAACTGGACTCAATACAAGGCGCATAACCCAACATATATATACATATTCACAAATATGTAGATTTGGAATTCAAATTATGGAATTAGAATTGAGGGCAATAATTCTAATTCTGGTATTTGATAGTACAAAAATATATAGATTTAGAATTCATAGTGCCAAAATGAATTGAAATTAGATAATTCAATTCCATCCAAATCAATTCTATAGAATTTCAACTTCTAATTTTATTCCAATTTTGTCAATCTTGTGTACCAAACTGACCCTAAAGTCTTGATAGAATTTTATATTTGAGCTGTATGTCTAACTCTTTAGCATGTATCTGTTAGCGTATATTATGTATATATTATTTTATGTATATTATTTTGTAATATTATGGGCATATCGTGTTGGGCTTGTAACTTGTATTTATATCCTTCGGTATCAATGAAACAAGCAAGTCATTCAGTTCACCAAATTCTACATGGTATCGGAGCAAACCTGGGATATCACGTAAAACCCTAGGTGGCCGCTGCAAATCTGGTCTTTCGTTCGCCGGTTGTCTGCGCCGGAGCATCGTTAGTCTCTTCCCGGTGAACTGTCCAAGTCTCTTCTCCTGTCACCGGGATCGTCCATCTCTGCCCCGGTTGGGCGTCTCCGTCCTTGTCGCCGGCGAATCCCTGTTCGCCCGCCCTTTTCCGTTTATCTGCAAAGAATCGCCGCCCATGTTCGCCCGTTGAAGTCGCCGCCGTCCATCCCTCTCTGTTCCGATCGAAGAGGTTTCCGTCCAATTGCGCAGTTTGGATTTACCACGCCGCCCAGATCTGCCTTGCTGTAGCAGCCTGTACAATACCGCAGCAGATTTCCTTCGTCCCATTGCGCAGCAGATTTTCTTTGTCCAGTAGTTTGGATTACTTTGGTTTGAAAACATAGCATAAAATTGACAAGATGACCACTACCTCGTGTGATTGGTTGATTGATAGTGGTGCTTCTCATCATATGACGGGTACT